CATGGAAACACTTCATAGGAACTACATACAGTGTAATTTGTTTTAAAGAGAAAATTTGAGTCCTATTTTGTCCATCTTATCTAAGAAATATAGAATTTGTAAGCAGTGTTTAAACAGTAATTTTGAAATAAAATTTAGTTTTGAAGTAAATTGGAATTACAGGCGGAAGCTTATTCGTGGAATGTTTAGATATGTTTCGTATTGAAGAAATGTTTGGTCACAGTAAAATATTTTCAGCTCATTTATTTATTTTTCAGTTTATATAGTTTCATTTTGATTGTCTCTTTTAAATATGTTTACAAAAGTTTTAATACAGTTATCTATATATAAAAGTAAACCATCCTTTAAAGATTTATTCAGTTTCTTTGTGCTACAATTTGTACAACTGCCTTATTATTACCTTAAAACTGCATCTTAATGAAACAGGTAACATAAAAAATGTTTATTTCGTGAAAGCTTGGTTTTCAATTATGCTCTAAACATGTATTTTTAATTTATCAGCACTGCTTTCATTGCTGTATTTAGATTTTTAATTATCTAGTGGTTGTCTTTTTTTTTATGTTGATGTTAAGTTGTGGGATATTGAACCTTCCTGACTCGATTATTTCTTAACATACTTCAGTGTTCGATTCAAATGTTTCATTGATTTCATGATCACCTGAAAATTTGTATACTACATGCATGTACAGTGTTTTAGATTTCGGAGTTTCCTCTACAAAAGTAACTATTATTATTCAGTAATGAATTAAAACCTTAAAATGATCATCTCTGAAGTTTTTTTTGTACATTTTAGGTTTGAAAAAACATCACAATTTTTTTGTTAATTCTTTGAATGTGTTATGTTAGAAGTTCATAATAATATTCTGTGTTGTACAACTTTTAATCTGTTATTTTTTACACACTACAAAGCTGACTTTATATTCTACAATAATCTAGTGCTGTATTTGGTGGGCCAGATGCTGTTCCCAGGCCACCAGTTACCCATTACTATACTGTACCATCATATATGTACCTCTCCATATATATAAACCATCATTTATCATTAAATTCCTAAAGTAGGTCCTGTTGTTACTTGCAAAGAGTAATTAAGCTATGTATCACTTGTGTAAAGATTGTCGCAAATAAAACTACCTGTACACTTGGAAATGAGAAACACTACGTTTTTTTTCCGTTTTATTAGTAAAAGAGACTTATTTCTCCAACTTTTACTTGTTTTTTACTTTATTTATATTGATAACAGAAAAACATAAGGAAAACGGTATGTCCATCTTTGTTTATAGCTAGCTCTCGTGACATGTGCTTGTTTGTGAGATTCCCAGTAAAAAATACAAAGTTTTGACACATACAATACAAATATTAGATTTTTTTGTACTTTTGTAAAGATATGTACACATTTGTCAAGATTATATGTAATTCAAAAGCATAATTTTTGAGTTTATGTAGTTTTATGACGCATACATTTGCTTCCCTCAATAGATTGTCACCTGCGACGTCACGAAGGAAAAAAACCATACAAATGTACACACTGCAATTACAGTTCTGCTGTAAAGATTGACATCATTCGTCACATGCCTGTTCACACTGGAGAGTTTAATTCTATTTGTGACATTTGTGGCAAACCTTTTAGAGATGACTGCAGGGTCAAGGAACACATAAGGCAAGTTCACCTTCGAGAACGAAAATACATGTGTGATCTATGTGGATTTATGACCCACACACTTCATATTTTGAAGCGTCATCATCTTGTGAAACACACCAACCTCGAGAAGTTTGAGTGCCCTATTTGTCATGCTATAGTCAAACAAAAGGGTACCTTTATTGTTCATTTACGTCGACACACGGGTGAGCGTCCATATGTTTGTGAACAGTGTGGAAAGGCCTTTCGATGCTCATCCTATCTTCATAAGCACCTGAAAGTTCACAGTGAAGGTGAGCACGAGTGTCAAACATGTGGTCGCAAATTCAAAAATAAAAGTCATGTTCAAAGACATGCTGTTATTCACCAAGGAGTGAAGCCTTTTCCCTGTCACTTATGTGATTACTCCTGTAACGTGAAATGTAATCTTTTAAAGCATATCCGCACTGTACATAAAATTAAAAATTATAAAATACAGAGCTTAGAAGAAAAAGGTGAAAATAACTCTATGACCGAAGATGACGAGGCTGTAAAGAGAGGACGAAGTGTTACTGAAGTATTCCTTCAAAAGTTTTCTGAAAAAACTGGTGCTGACTGTACTGTTGATAAGCTGTTAGAAAAAGAGTTAAGCTCTCAAGATTCTACAGAAAATGGACCAGGTGGTATCAATGAATGTGATCAAAGTAAAAAAGATGAGCTCTTAAGTAGAAAGTTCCAGGACAACAGTTCTGTTTTGGCTGTTTCAGAAGGTGAACATCCGTCCGCATCTGACATCACTGAAAACTGGTCGAAAGGAAGGAGTGTGTCTTCTAGTGAAAATGACATACTAGCTAATGCCATGAAGATGTTAACTTCTTTAACAAATGTAGTTCCTCGAGAAGAGGAAAACCAGAAACTGGAAAGTGGTAATTTAGATGATTCAGTTGTATATCCTATAGTCTCTTATTTTGAAAGTGATGGAAATAATCAGCATGAACCAATCATCAGCCTTCAGCTGGCACAAACTGAACCCTGTGGTGAAGATGTTGCTGCATTTGTTATAGAGTTACAGTCTGAGCAGAATGTTTATTCAAATTAACACAATTTTCATATATTTACTTCATAGAAAAATTAATAAACTGACTCTTTGTATAAGGTAGGAAGAAAAAGATAATTTAACAATTTAATCTAAAAATCGTAGTAGCTTATGATATGATTTGTTTGTTTATAATTAAGCACAAAGCTACACAATGGGCTATCTATAATATGATTTAATCTAGAATTTTAAACTTTGATTAGTTGCTTTTTTTTCTCTTTTTTTTTTTTTTAAATCGATCATTAAATTTTTTAAGAGGGGAGGATTATATGACAATTTATTTGTACTAAAAGCAAACGTGAAATTCAGAGATTGTAAAATGTGTTCATTTTCATTAATTGCCTATTTTTTTAGGATTAATTAATTTCTTATTAAATTATAAAAACCCACAAAATTGTGTTTATTGATTTACTGTTATCATCAGTGGTGGAATGGCATTGTTAGAATGAAAATGTGACAATGACTGCATTCTGGAAGGAATGATGCATTTATTTTTAAATTATAAAACATGTTATAAAGGAAGTACCTCTAAAATATGGCTTTTTCTATATTTTACCCATATTAAATAAATGCTTTATTTTTGGGCTTCTCGATCCTTTGCTTAAAAAAAAAATGTGCTAACTACAATTGACTTTAAACCTCCATCTTGGTTTCTTCAAGTAATTTCTTTCCAGTTCTACCACTGGTTGTCACACATTATTAAATCACCACAAATGAAAGAGAGTCCATTTTGTTTGCAAACTGCTGAAAATGTTGATTATGCATTACTTTTTTCATGGTTTTTAAAATACTCAAATATAACTTGTATAGACGAACTGCTTTCATTTGCATGAGATTATGGCTTAATGTGTAATGATTATTCTTCCATTATCAATTTTAGTTTACTTTTTTAAAACCCAAAATTTACTTCAAACATTTGCTTCTGGTAAGTTGCAATATAGTTTTTAAAATGCAAGGTGATTAGAAAAAAACAAACGTGTAACATTATTATTTCTTAAAACCGTTTTTTTTTAAATAACTAAGTTCTATCAGATGTACTGAGAATCGTATCTTTTATTCGGGAAAGTTTGGACATGGTATAGGATGTTTCAAAAAGTAAAATGGAAGTTGTTCAATATGCCTTTTGTCATTCTCAGTGAGAATATTAAACTTATTTATCATAGGCATCGTCTATTTTTGTACAGTGTAATATTGATAATAAACTTGGTGAAAATGCATGTATATGAAACATCTCTTCCTAAATAAAATCTTTAAGATTTTTATAGTGTTACTTGTTGGCTATTGTGTATAAAATTTATATTATTTTAAGAAGCCCTTCATTTGTGATGGAATATTTGAAAAACAGTGTGACTCCTTTAAATAAAAATTTTAAAATGAGAAACTATTATAAATAGTAATTTTATTGTTTATCTTTCAATCACTTATAAAGATGTTTTCATGCTCTGTCTATTTCAGTCTTCGTTTACAGATGGTTCAAAATTTTTAGCATTTTCTTAAGTGTACTATGGGTTAATATCAAATGTATGATTTTATCGAAGTGTGAAAAATGTTGACTATGGCCTATATCACCCTCTGATGGCACTAAAGACAGAAATAGCAGTAAAAGATAGCTTTTCACAAACATACTAACAACCTGTATAAGAGCCTTATTAATAGTACTGTAATGAAGGGTAGACTTTGATCTTCAAAGGTTTGGAACAGGTTAACAAACGGAGGTTTGAACCTTCAATAGTACTAATTTGCATCATTTACCGATGATATAACCATAACTACTAATTCATATTTGATTAAAAACTCTTTTATTTTAAAGATATTCCATATAAATGAAAATAAAATATTCACATGTAGTTTAAAATCTATTATATATATAACAGTAATATTGTTTATGTACATGTATTTGGTGTTACGTACGATACTCGCAGAGCTATATACAGTAAGCTTGCAATGGAAAAGCACACTACTGTTGCCAGTTAAAAGAAAACAGATGACTTAAGCAAAACAAATCTTTATTTAACAGTGATCATTTTAAGTAGGCTAACAGTCATTTTAACATAAAATTGTTGATTAATTGAACATATCTAATAAAAAGTAAAACAGAACAGAATAACACTAACAGTTTGATTATAGAATAAAAATAGATCTTTAACTATACCAAAAGGTTACAAGAAAGATTGTTATTATAAATTACATTTTTAACACCATTGCTGATTAAGTAAACATGTGCCTTGGGTGGGGGTTAGAGTTACAAAGGTTTGCCTTTTTTCAACATGAAAATTATTAATGTTAACTGATATTTTATGTTTCATACTTATTCTATCATAATGCTTATCTTACATCTTGTGCATTTCTGAATAAATGAGTTACTAAGCATACCCCCTCCCCACCCTGTGCTCTATCATAATGGTTTAGTACATTGCATAGGAGATGTTGCTAGGTTCAAGATTTTGGTGGTTGGGTTTTATTTTTATTATAACTTTTGTTTAAGTAATATGTATTATACAATTCAAAAGATGAAATTTCCTGTGTGACAGACATTTTAATGTGTGATTACTATTCAGACATTGTTAATTGGTATCATTTTCTTGACACTTGTATATAATGTTAAAATGATAATTAAGAAACATATAACCTTAAAATCGATACACAATTAAAAACGTTTTTAATTCAGGCCAATCTATGCCCTCTGATGATGGTGTGGTAAACGTTGTAACATGTAGAGTCCACATTTTCGATATTGGTCTGAACTAAAACTGTTTTTGTGTATCGATTGTAATGTTGTTTCTTATTTATTATTGTTAATTGGTTTCTGTTAACAAGAAAAAAAATCTGACATTACTTGAATGAGGTCTGATGAACCAAAAGAGTACTCTGTATGTGCTTATAAAATACTGAAAATTTTGAACCCGTCCCTTATTAATTAATCTTAATAGATACAGTTCACAAGTAAACTTTTCTTTTATAGTGAAATATAATTTAACATTTACCATTAGGTTGAATAAAGTGCTGTTATGCAACACAAAATTGAAAATTACATTAAAACAGAGGAGCACTTGTATGAAGTTTTGTATGCATATATAATTTTGTTAAATGTTGAAAATTATATTTCCCTCAAAGAGGTATACATGAAATCATTGTGTGATTTGTTGTTATTTAATTAAGAAGTTCACACACAAACATTCTAAATACAAGTTTAGAAATAAAAGCATTGTCATCACTAGGCTTTTGACGTAGTATATCAAAATGTTGTGTTTTCTGATTCAAATAAAATATATTTAATAAAAGACATCAATTATCAAGTAGTTTTTATCATAACTAAAGTATAGGAAGACTACAATAAGCAAAATTTAATGAATTGATCTTGCCTAATGTATTTTTTTACTGAAGCCTTATTTCAGTTAAGATTTATTTTGTCACAATCTGCTAATGGCTGATTGACCTGAGATATTGTTTAAGAAATTATTATGTTAACAAGAACTCGTCTCCAAAAGTACAAAAATATTCCTTCCATTTGGAAAATGTCTGAAAATAGTGTTTTTGATCACACAACTTGATGATTGTCTGTAATTGCAACTTAAAAAGTCATTTTTAATGAGCACCTCTTGGTGGAAGAAACTCCTGTTAAAGTATAAAGAAAATGTTATTAAGTAAACATGGTTTTCAATTACCAGTAATAGTAAGAAAGAAGGTGTAATAATGAACTAAATATTCCTCTCCACATCCATATATATAATTTAAATTTTCATTACTACCATCATGAAAGTGATGAATTTGCACTCCTTAAAACTTATCTACAAGTATTTGTAATGATAATGTTAACATGAAATAAATGTTAAAATTATCCTTGTTTTCAGGATTATGAAGTGGACCTATACTGATTTTTCTAGAAAGTAAGAATTTTATTTTCAAACAACCAATAAGTTTTCACATCTAGCTAACGACAAAATTAGGTATATAGTCAATGAAAAAGTGAAATGTTTCATAAAACAACACAAGGATTTGTTTAAAGGTTTTACATATGAATTTATTACATTGTTCCCTTTGAAATACATTATTTTTTGAATGATTATTCTGCCCAATCAGTGACCCTCAAAAGGAACAGTTTTGATATTTTTGAAACTTCGTTTAGATGGTAAAAGTACGTACAAAAAGCAACAAGCTCTGTAATATAAATCTGAGAGCCATAGTTAATAACACAGGATTCCATCAGCCAAACTAGGTTGTTAACAAAACAAACATTCAGTTCTAATTGGAATAAATGATATAGTACAATGTAATTGTTACTCCTCCTATCATTAATCTCTGGATTAGAAATATAAGGTGCCATTTTACAGAAGAATAAAAAATGTTATTTCATTTATGTTGGGTGGGGGGGGGAATATAAATTTCATGAATACACAATGAGGGATTATTTATGAAATATAAAAAAACAGTAAAAGTAAATGTATTAATTATGTTTGAAGACATGCTGGATAGAAAAAGTGTCTTGTGTAACAGGGTCATAGGCAGAAGTATGGGGGGTCGAGGACATGATACCTCAGAATCTTTTTTAAATCTTCACTGACAGTGATACAGTTTTATGGTACCTGAGGCTGTTTTTACACCTTTCAAATGTTTCGTAAATATATGGGCAGGATTGCCAACATCCATGTGTAAATTATCTGGAATGTTATATTAATTTTCAGAAAATGTGATTTATTGTGTTCTGTGCTTTAAAACATTGTGTGTAGAATGTTTCAGGCCAACTGTAAAGCCAAACAGTATCAAACATGTGCAATTATAATCGTGAAAAGTGGGTACAGAAAAAAAACATTTACATGTTATAAAGCGACAGATGCAACACTGAAAAAAGTATTTTTAATTTGAAGAGTTATGGGATGTGTTTCAGAATGGTCCATTGCAGTTTTAAGTGTTTTGGAGGATTATTGTCTGTTACACAGGTAAGCATAAAGTACTAGAGCAGTGTTTCTCTGCCAGATGACTTCGGCATCCAGCCTTTGATTGTTACAACTTCTCATTATCTCTATAAGGATGAAAAATTCTTGATGTTTCTTGCTGTAGTTCATAACAAAGGTGACATGTGCACCTCGGGGACTAAAAAAAATGTTCAGTCAGCACAGACAGGTTGTGACCCGCCATTTGAGAAACTACTAAAGGATGGGGGGTTGCTGAATATGTTTATAATTCTTTAATCACTTTTGTAGGCTTGCACTCGTGGCTTTTCAACATAATTTGAAAGTGATATGTATTGATATTAGATAGATAATTTTTTTTTTTTCTGTCTCTTGGATAAACATTCTATACATTAATTTATAAAATTATATATATATATATATTTCAATGCTCAAAGGAAACAAATAATAAATAGGCAACCCAATCTAATATTTACAGCAAAAACTATTAATATTATGTTGACACTAACAGTAACATGCCAGTTTAAAATAAAACTTTTTATTTGTTTCTCTAAAAAGACTAAGTAGTGAGATCGACATTTAATGTAAATAAAAAATAATTCGACACTGTACAAACTATGACAAATTTCGTGAACTAAACTATTTTTAAAGTACAATGCGCTTCGTGCTTACAAAATTTATAGATATTTTGTGAAAGGGTATACAGCACCAAATTTCATGTGCGGGCATATATAATATTTTGATCACAAAATAGGTATATTACAGCGAACACGAGCCTTCGATGGTCATTTTAATCGTAATTCCAACAGCAGTATGTCAGTATACATAAACAAGTTAAGTGGAATTTATATTAAATCCTAGAATGGTATGTAACCATGACTTTGTACCCGTATTCTTGCGCAAAAGGCTTTTATAACACCACATGACACACCTACAATTCTTCCGCCACAACCCTAAGCCTTCACTATAAATTTCAATGTTAAGTGCATAGTGTTTCTAGCTGGGATAAACGACAAACTCGGAGGCGTTATGGGAAAATGTACACATTAAACGGAATACTTCTTCACCAAATATCAAAAAAGGAAAATGAAAAATTTACGACACGGTAGTTAGTAAATAAGTTTATGATAAATTAGGCTAATGATTTAAACTATAAATACAGAAATATAAAAATCAATATAAAGTTAATGAGTAAAGTTTTACATAACTTTTTCAGAGCAGAATAATTAATATAATTCGTGCGTTTTGGAAGAAATATATATATATACACACACACGATAGTTCTTAATTACTAGGACGTAGGGGCGTGTCTAGTGGGGTGGCGTGGAGGCAGACATCATTGAAGATCTCTTCCCCTCAGCAGATTCACTAGCTGAAATGTAGTCTTTTTAGATTTTTACGTTTTCTATATTGTGACTCCCACTGACTTGAAAGTGTTAATTTATTCTGCACTCCCCCCTCCAGTAAGAAATCATAGAAACAACACTGCTGATACAAATTTATTTATTTTTTTCATTTTATTTATATATTTCTTCAAGAATTATTACATTTTATGTTTGATGTATCCATAGTGTATCTGAGTTTGTCCAATATTCTAGCTGAAATACTGTGTTTTAAAAAGGACTGTGGCTGAGGCATTGTGCATGTGTGAAATGTTAGATAATCAATTAAATGCCTTTTGCGTAAGAATATGGGCACAAAAATCAAGGTTTTAAACTTCTGAACTATATATTTGCTGTAGATCGCCAAGAAGTGTGGTAGATAGAAAATTCTTCAAAGCTTTTGTTGTTCTGTTTACAGGTTGTTTTTGTGTGCTTACACAGATTTAAAACATTTAACTGTCCTTAAATTACGAGAATATTTGAGACAAAAAAGTTAATTAGATAACTGGACAGCGTCTCAGAGTAAAATACATTAACTTAATAAAATAAACTAATAAATATTGCATTGGTCATAAAAGTTTGATAACAAAAACGTTTTTATCGTTATTCTAAAAAAAACCACATTAGACTTTTCGTGCTCTACCTACCACAGGTATCGAAGCCTGTTTTTTAGCGTTAAAAGCCCACGAACTTACTGCTGAGCCACTGGGGGCAGCAAAAATAAATCCACTTTAATCATTGTATTAACGATATATTGTACTTAATAAATATTTATATAATTAATTAGGCTAATAATATTTATTATATAAACATAAAAATAAATATGAAATTCAATTATGAAAATGAGAAATATCTCACCTACTGTATACATATGATTCGTGATTTCAACATTAAAGTATAGAGTAAATTAAAATGATTGAAGGCATGCTAGTATACAGAGTTCTGATTCATTATTACTTTCAGCCTAAGACCTGCAAATGCTCAAACAGGAGGTATTAGAGGACTTATTCTTGTGAATCTGATAATCGAGTGACTTATTGTTTATATAGCGCAGTTTTTTATTTTATTTAAATTATTAACTGAAACAGCTTTGTTATAAACTCATGTGTTAATACTTCAATTTAGATTTAATCTGGTGTGTATATTATTGAAATTTGTTTTATTAATCTCCATGCTATATTTATATTGTACGGATCTTTGCGTTTTAAGCGTAAAAATTAAGCATAAATAAAATACAATATATTTTACGATTTAATTTCATATTAATTTCAATTATAACGTATCGAAGATTTTTAATTCATGTATATAAATGTATTGTAATTACAAATCTTCGGAAACGGAAGTGTGATGTCAGCACACGGCATGTCAACGCCCAGTGCTGAGGATATCTGGAGTGTACTGAATAAGGTGACTATCGTACTCGTACGAAGAGTTATTGGGTTAAATTTATGTGTTTCTGAAACGATTTAACGAAATTGTAAACGTTTATCATAAATATTGTAGAGGTTGAAGAGATAGGGAAGGAAAGGAAACACTGGTGTACCGAAGTACTGCTCCTTTTGGTGTGACTGTATCTTTGTAATTGTAAGTTGCGATACAACGTTATGCGTTGAGTCAAATATAATCAGGTGTAAGCTTGATGTCAGCATTGAGAAAATGGCGACCAACGTTAAGTCCCTGATTTAGCCTAACCTGCTTTGTCTTACGCGTAACTATCTTTAATAATTGAAGATTGTAGTATTATATATAAAATATACAATTTATAAAAAGTGTAAGTTTTATAGGTTGGATTTTAGTTGTAAATAGTTAAAGTATTTTATTTATTTACATTTATATTTATTTTAAGTTTGACTTTAGGCTTAGTCTTAGTTTAGGCTTAGTTTGGATAGTAGGTCTTATTTCTTAACATTTCATCTCTTTCGCTCATAATTTTTTATACGATTTTTCTGTTTATTCTAATGAGCTTAAAATAAACTAAAAAGGTTTGATAAGTAAGTTTTAACCATTAATTCTTTGTTAATAACGCTTCTACTTTAAGCTTAAATTTAAAACAAGGAAAAAAGCCAAGTTGTAAATGTAGGAAAATACTAGAACTTAATTATACTTTAATTTAAAAAAACTTAGCGGCATTTCTAAATTCTAACAACCTTAGGCTTTCTTTACACACAGCACTCTTAATGTTAACACATAATTAAGTTTTAACAAGGTTGAAAGAATGTGATAACTTAAAGTTTAAATTTATCTTAGTTAAGATCAAATTTAAAAATATTCATATAAATAATATATACAGGAGATTCCATTATATATATTGTTTAGGAATTATTTAACAATATTATTTAACAAATTCAGTCTTTTTTTTGTACTGTCAGAAATGCAGTAATGTCTTAAGAGGATATCAGATGAAATTTATTAATGGTATTATTTAACCTGTTTGGACTTACTTGATTTAAAATCAATTCTCAAATTACAAAGGTTATGAAACAATGTCATAAATCAGATCTGTTTATGTTATTGTGTTGCCTTAAGAAATTATGTTAAAATGATGGGTATAAATATTTGCTCATATCATGACAAATAATTTTCACAAGCATAGATAAATGTTTAATTTTATACACACACATTGGTGTATAGTTAAATTTGAGTGTAGTGGTATTTAAATCTATTTAAGAAAGTAATACACCCACTTAAAGAGTACAAATAAAGTGTGAAACAAATTGAAAAAACATTTATTCAGATGCAACCACTTGTTTTGTGAATTATATAGAAATTATAAAACTTGACACTTGTTTTTTTTGTTTTATAATACTTTATAATGCTAAGTAAAGAACTTTTTCATTAATTATTTAAATGTTTCTTAAATTGAATATTACTGTACAGTGTAAGTTGGTCTGACCCAAATACTATTCCTTATAACATTGGTCCCAGAAATAGCGTACGTACCATAAAATATAATTCAAAATCCAACTAAATCTCTTTAAAAAAAAAAAAATTAAAAGAAAAAATTACTGTTATTTCTACACTGCTTTAGCTGAAGAAAAAATTGATTGGTTTGTACATGAGGCTAAAGGTAACAACAACAATAAAATAGGGCTGGTTTGTATATTAACACTTGGGGTTTGCATTTGTGCAGAATTCTGTGTTATATATGCAGGAAAGTTTAATAAAACTGACAAAAATAACTGCTTTTCTAAAATGTGAATGTATCGAAACATACTGGTTCAAATTAAGTATTTTTTTTTTGTAATAAGACATGAAAAATATTTCACTGCTTGTAGTAGTCTCTTTGGGGGGGGGGGTGACAACATATATCCAAAACCATAGAATTTCATTAAAAAGGAGTGAATTATCCAGTAGAGAGGATTAAAGCCTTCTGTTAGACCTCCCTCCTCCCAATTGAGAATTTAAGCAGTGTTGTCATTACATTGCATTACATTACTATTGTTAGATTGGGTTTTCTTGTTACCTATTCCTTACTTGGTTTTAAACTTTGTAATTCTAAAAACTTGTGACTGAAAGCAAAGGAGAATGTTATGTTAACCACATTACATCTGCCATATTCATTGCCAGCAAGATATTTTGCCAGGGCTCATTGAGTTTTTCTGTTTTCATATAACATCAACTGTTATGGTGTGAATCAGATTGAGCAAGTGAATTGCAGTCATTATAAATTTTATTCAAGTCATTCATAAGTTATTAGTCAAAGAGTTGGTGGTGGTGGATACTACTGGCCTTTTGCTTTCACTGTGGTCATACATTCAAAATTGAGGGTGGTGGCACATAGCTTTGCTATAAACAAACAAACTTTTCAGTTGTTTCATTTCCTAATGGTTTTCAAACTTTGTAAGATAAAGCTATGTTTTATGAAGGTAATGTTATTTTTATGTTGTTTGATTTTGAATTTATGGTTTTGGAAGTATATCTAAAATAGTAGGTTTTTACTTGGCTAAGTACACATTTGCATAAAAAATACAATAAGTTTTTATTATTCATTCCCCATGGTAGGTTACAGTGTGTTTGAGTAACTGAGTAGTTATAGATAGAGGCTCTGACATTTTTGTAAACATGTTTATGAACCTGAAAAACAATACTGAACTCTCTGAAGTAACATATCTCGAATAGTCTGTATAGTATTTTTGTAAGAGATGAGTGATAAAGGAATAAGTCATTGTTTCTAAATGTTCAACACATGAGCTTAATTTGTAACTTTACAAGTTCCGTTATCCCTTGTACCACTGCACATACTCTTTGTTTTTGAGTGTTAGGCAGTTAACATGGTTAACTTACTTAATCTGAAATAATGTTACATCAGAAAATAACTTTTAATGCAATGTACAAAAAAAGTGTCATGGTTGAAAAATGCTGATTTTTAGAAAGCAGTCTGTAAAGACTAGTGCAACCACTGACGCTGTTTCAATATTTAGAACCAAAATATTGTCTAACAGAGATGGAACTTTATTAACTGAGTTTAATGTTTTACAGAGCACTCGAACTTGTGAAATTTTAGATGTTTTAGTTTTACTAAAGTTTTGTTAGACTAAGCTGAGAAATTTTTACATTTTAGTTAATTTTGTTAAAAAATATTTAACAATAAATAAAAAAAATATATACCTAAAAACAAAGGTTTGTAGTACTTTCTCCATACTCAAGTTCTTCTTTTACACATGAAAAAAAAAGTGATATTCTTTTATAAGCCTTGATGAGGGAGGATGTTGAAAAGCTAAGCTCATAGATTTCTGAAAGTTATTTAATATTATTATTTGTAGTAATTTGAGTTAAATAACACCATAATAAGACAGTAAAGTTTTAAGCTAGAGTTTAGGGGTGTAAATTATTATTACAATATTTTAACTTAAAATAGGCTCAGTACGTTTAATGGTACTTTAGGCTTAGGTATATTTATACTCGCTAGTAAATTGTAAAACAGGATAGATAAATTTTTATTAAATAAATACAATCTAAAAATTAGTTTATTCTTTCTTGGTGTTCTAGAATTAATGTGTTTAGTTGAACTTAGATCCATTAGTTTAAATTCAGGTTATACTTTATAGATATAGGTAGGTTATAATGTAAATCAGGCTAAAGTAAGTATGTTTTATTATTAACGTTACGTATATTGTTCTAATAAATTAAGGATAAACTTTATTACTTTAGTGTGAAGAAAAAGTAGTGATAAAAAATTATATAATTGGTTGAACAGTTAACAATAAGCTACTGGTATTTGGTATTGAGTATTATTTTCACTTTCAGGCTATAACACTAGCAGTATAAATACAATGGTTAAGACCGGTGTAGGAGTTAAGCATTTGCAGTTTGTTAGGTGTAATGGGTGTAAGAAGTGGGTTTTATTTGGGAACTCGGGACTGGAAGCTAGTAATGAAGATGTACAATTTTTATGTAGAGTTTGTAGGTTGAATAAAAAGTTAGAGGTAATCATGAGTAAAGTAGATGCAATAGATAAAGAGAAGTGTAGATTGTGGGAAATGGCAGTAGGATTTCAGGATGAGCTTAAGCTTTTACATGCAAGGGATTCATCAGCTAAGGATGACTTTAAGGAAGTTAGAATGAGTACTGTGAGGGCTAAAATTGGTAAATTTAGTTATAATGAGCCTATTCTGTTGAGCAACAAATTTCAGCCCTTGGCTTCTGCAGATGGGGGACTATTGGAGGGAAGGAAAACAAAAGGGTCAGAGAAGGATGCAGATGATATCGTTATAGGTGATTCCTTGACAAGGCATGTGGTTAGAATAGTCTGTAGGGTAAATAGGGAGAAAAGAATCAGATTATGATACCCAGGGGCATAGGTGGAGGATATAACTGACAGAGCAAGAGATATAACAAAGGGGGCTAGCAGAGATGCAGTTTTTTTAAGTGCATGTAGGGGCTAATGATATAGGAAAAGGTTGGTCACAGGAGCTAATTAAAAAAGTATGAGGGGGTTGATAAAGGCACTTA